AAAAACAGCGTTTCTGTAAAATACAATCAAAATAAATTCATGTTTTCTGCAGATGAAACATTTTATCACTTAATTTTAAGTGAATTAAGTGTTAACGCGAAAAGCTTAATACTTAATATTAACAATTAAGTGTTAAATTAACACTTAATATTAGAAATTAAGTATTGCGTTAATACTTAATATTAAGTAATTAAGTGGCTAATGCAAATATTTTTTTTATTAATACTAAATGTTAAGTAAAATCACTTAATTAAATCTCTTAATTAACTCTAATTAACATTAACGGTCCACCCCTACGATGATCTCGAGAACCATAAATCATGGAAAACTGATTGAAAATGGAGATGAGAGTATCATGATGGAAATTTTAGCATATGTTTTCGAATCTTCAATCTGAGGTTCCGTTTACTCACAAATGTGGTTCCAAAATAACGAAAATGAAAGGAATTTATCGTTTTCAAACTTCGAGATAATTAAAATGACATCATCAACATATGTTATCCACTATAGTCTATTCATTTACAGCTGATCTAAGATAATGAATCATAGAGATAATTAACTGTTCAATCGAAATCGATCTTTGAGAATGTATCGCTAAGTAGGAATAGAGTGTTCTCAGTGATGAATACCATTATGGCTACATAAAAAGTATTCAAGATTTCTTCGAATTGAAAATTTTTGGTGAAGATCCGATTCGAGCTTCGCATCGCATTCGTATTCGAGTGAAACTTGAATACCATCTAGTTTGTCTTATGTTCATGTGTCAATTAATATCTTTACGAAATTGAATTCTTTTTTAATTCTCACTAGCTATCTGAAAATTGATTAAGAATAAATGAATATTTAATATATTCAAATTGGTAGTTCGTATAAATGGAATAATTATTCATTAAAATCATAAACCAAATAAATTATAATAGCCCTTCATAGTCAGTGAATGGGGTAAACTCACACTCTCCGGCTTTGCTATGCTAAATTATATTTCATTAAGTAATTCTATTAATAATGAATAATACCATTCGGTTTGACATATTATCATAAAACGGATCTCTTAGATTAGAGGTCCTGATGTTAATAAGTTCGTTGAAAAATTGGTAATAACACATCAGTTGTAACCTGACGATATAAAGTTGGTTTCTTGATGTGTTGAATAATAAATGTTTTTGGTGTAAATTTTTTAGTAATTCTGTATGGCCCTTCATAACGAATGTCAAATTTGTAACGGGTGTTGTTTGTTTTAATGAGGACAAGATCACCGATATCATAAGCTGGATCAGAACGATTTGTATCATAACGTTGTTTATATCGTTCTTGATTTTTAATAATGTTAATTTTGGCTTGTTCATTTAATTTTTGTAAGAACTGATTAAGTTTCTTGATATGTTCATCATCATATGAAATTGTAACATTATCTTCTTGATAATCGATTGGTAATATAGGTATTCGACCATACATCATTTCAAACGGGACTTGTTTGGTCGAAGAATGAATTGATGTATTGTAATTGAATGTTACGAATGGTAATTGATCATCCCAATCGATTTTTCGCAAATTTGATAAAGCTGCAATTTTTGAATCCATTGTTGAATTATATCTTTCAACTTGTCCATTAGTTTGATGATGATATGGCGTTGAGTATAAATGTGTTGATCCAATTTCTTTTATTAATTCGTTCATCATAGATGATGCAAAATGTGTACCATTGTCCGTTAATATACAATTAGGTGTACCGAATTTTGAGATAATATCTTCTTTAAGAAATTTAACAGCTGTTTGAGCAGTATTATCACGTACTGCTTTTGTAACCATAAATTTTGATAAGATATCAGTAAAAGATATAATAAATTTGTTTCCCCGACGAGATGCTGGGTTAATAGGACCATGAACATCCATAGATACTAATTGCCATACTCCATCTGGAGGTTCATTTGGTCGTAATTTACCAGGAGTTTTGTGCCGACGAGGATTACATTGGGCACAAAGAACACATGATTTTATATAATTGTTAATATCTTTATACATGGAAGGCCAAAAATAACGTGTTTTAATTTTGTGTAGGGTTTTATCTCTTCCGAAATGAGCACCAGTTGCTGCGGTATCATGATAAATTTTTAATATCGTTTGACGAAGTTCACCTTGTGGTACAGAGGGAACTGGAGGATTTAATCGACGCATTAAGATATTATTTTTTATAAAGTATTTTGTATGTTTTTTAATATTGTAAATAATATTTTTTACATAATTATCATCTTGCTGTGCTTGCATTACTTGTTCGATTGAAAATGGAATTATTCGATTCTCTTCGACTGGAGTATCTGATGTTAATATTGTTGTATCATTTTTTTCCTTCGAAGTTGAATTTCGTAATTTCATAGCACGAGTTTGAACAGCGGTAACGACAGGCGATTGATTGTTAATATCTAAAAAATTGGTTTGTGTTGATTTTGAAATAAGAAGTGAAATTTCATCGGGATCTTCTTCAGCATCATCAACTGGAGATCTTGATAAATAATTAGGCATAGAATTTGTTAATCCAGGAATATATTTAACCTTGTAATCATATTCCAAAATTTTTAATCTCCATCGTTCACTTCGTTTATTAATTTGAGCCTTTTGATTTAATTGTGTTAATGCTTTGTGATCAGTTTCCCAAACAAATTTAATTCCACTTAAATAATTATGCCATTTATCTAATGCACAAATAAATCCATAACATTCTTGTTCTATAGGAGACCATTTACGTTGAGCTTGAGTAAATTTCTTTGAAAGATATGCAATTGGTCTATCTCCTTCTGGATAGATTTGTAATAATACTGCACCGATTCCCTCATCAGATGCACCAGTTTGTACTTTAAAAGGGAATCTGTTATTTGGAAGTCGTAATACCATATCTGTCGTAAGAATTTGTTTAAGTTGGTCGAATGCTTTTAATTCATCATTGGTTAATGTAATTAAAGTTTTTTGTCCTTTCTTTTGTTGGGTTCTTGTAGTTGGAACGAATTTTCGAAGTGGTTCTGCTATTTGAGAAAATTTTGGTATGAATTTTCTATAATATTCAGCTGCTTTAACAAATTTGCAAGCTTCATCTGCAGTTTGTGGTAATCTTGTATTTAATAAACCATTGATGTTATTAGGACTTGGACGAATTTCACCATTCTTTATATTAT